GTGTAGTGGTATACATTGCAGTTTAAATTTGCATTTCCCTGGTGACAGCTGATACCAGGTATCATTTCACATGTCCATTTGTCATCTGTAATACCCTCGGTGATGGAGTGTCTATGCAGATTTTCTGCCATTTATAAAGTTCTCTTTTTGAACTTTAAGAATTCCTTTTACATGTTCTGGATAAAAGTCCTTTATCAGATATGTAATTTGCAAATATTTTCTCCTAATCTTATGGCTTCCCTGGTGGCTCAGAGGGTAAAGCGTCTACCTGCAATGTGGGACACCCAGGTCTGATCCCTGGGTCGGGAAGATCCCCTGGAGAAGGAAATGGCAACCGACTCCAGTACTCTTGCCTGGAGAATCCTGTGGACGGAGGAGCCTGGTAGGCTACAGTCCATGGGATTGCAAAGAGTTGGACACGACTGAGCGACCTCACTTTGACTTTGCTTTCTCTTAGTCTGTGCTTTGTCTTAGGGGCCTCACCGCTGGCTCAGTAGTAAGGCAGCCGTGCAGGAGACACAGGACCCCCGGGCTCAGTCCCTGATTTGGGAAGATTCCCCTGGAGGAGGGCACGGCAGCCCACTCCAGTATCCTTGCCTGGAGAGTCCCATGGACGGGGGCCTGGTGGGCTACGGTCCATGGGGTCGCAGAGAGTCAGACGCGACGGGAGCAGCTGAGCAGAGCGCAGAACGTGTGCTCTCATACCAATCTCCTAGAGAGAGCAAAGGCTTTTTAAATTTGTTTATTTTTTTAAATCGAAGTGTATTTGATTTACCATATTGTGTTGGTTTCAGATATACAGCAAAGTGACTCAGTTGTACGTGTAGATATCTGTATTTATTCTTTTCCATTATAGTGTATTTCAAGATACTAAGTATAGTTCCCTGTGCTATACAGTAGGACCTAGTTGGTTATCCATTCTCTATATGCCAGTTTGTATCTGCGAATCCCACACTCCTAATTTACCCCACCCCCTCCCCTCCCGCCCCCTTTGCTAACCATGTAAGTTTGTTTTCTTTCATTTGTATCTTTTTTTTTTAGGTTCTACATATAAGAAACATCATATGATACTATCTTTGTCTGTCTGACTTACCTCACTTAGTATGACCATCTCTAGGTCCATTCATTTTGCTGCAGATGGCACTATTTCATTCTTTTTATGGCTAAATAAAATTCCATTGTAGATATATAAAGAGCAAAGTTTTGTAAACACTGAAAAAGTCCACTTTGTCAATGTTTTTCTTTCCGGGATTGTGATTTTGTGTTGTATTTGAAAACTCATCAGCAAACCCAAGGTCATATATGTATTCTCCTGTATTTTTTTCAAGAAGTTTTTTTGTTTGTTTATTTTACATTTTACATTCAGATCCATGATCCATTTTGAATCATTTCTATCTTGGGCCATGCCACACAGCTTATGGAATTGTAGCTCCAACCAGGGGTTGAACCCAGACCCTCAGCAGTGAAAGCTTGGAGTCCTAACCACTGGACCACCAGGGAAGTCACTTGAATGATATTTTATTTGAGATGTAAGATAAGTGCCTAGGGTCAGGTTTTTACATAGAGGTGTCCATTTGTTCCAGCATCATTTGTTGAAAAATGTTCCCCCATTCACTTTACCTTTGCACACTTGTCAAAACTTTGATGTTATTTGTGTGGGTCTGTAAAAAATCCTGCTAGGATTATGATAGGAATTGCATTAAACCTGTATTTTGGGGAAATCAATATATGTACTATATTGAGTCTTCTAATTCATGAACATAGTAAGTATATCCATTTATTTCATTAAAAAAATTTTATCAGCATTTTGTAGGTTTTAACATACAGATCCTGATATTGTTAGTTATACCTTTGAAATTTGTCAGAACTTGCATTATGACAGTATATTTTGAAGACTACATGTACATTTGAAAAGAACGTATATTCTGCAGTTGTTAAATGATTTTTTCTTTATATGTCTATAAGGTCAGGTTTGTTAATCTTGTTGTGTAAAACACCCATATCCCTTCTGATTTTCATGTGCATGTTACTGGGAGAGATTGAAAAGTATGCCACCATAATTATGGGTTTGTCTAATTCTCACTTTGGTTCTGTCATTTCTTTAAACATATTTTGAGGCTGTTATTAGGTACATTTAGAATTTAGACTTGGTATATCTTCCTGATTAGTTGATCTTTTTATAAATATATGCCTCTCTTTATTCTTAGTTATAATTATTGGCTTAAAGCTGACTTTGATATTATTATAACTACACCAGCTTTCTTTGGTTACAATTTGTCTGACATATCTTTCTTCATTCTTAAAATTTCAGTTGTTTTTTGCCTTTGTATTTAAGGTATGTTGGATGCATCACATGGTCACATTTTATTTTGGTTATATCCAGTCTAAAAATGTTAGTCTTTTATTTGTAGCACTTTGTATATTACACTTAATATAGATGTTGATATATTTGGGCCTACATTTACAACATTACTCTTGATTTCTGCTCTTTTTTTCCTTCTGTCTTTGGGTTTGTTTTGCTCTTTTTCTAGTTTCTTAACGTGAATGCCTGGATTATTGACTTGAGACCTTCCTTTTTTTTATGTTAAGTATTCAGTACCATAAAGTTCTCTTTAAGCACCACTTTAGCTGCACCCCCCCCCCCCAGATTTTGATATATTGTATAGACATCTTTCAGCTCAGGATACTTTCTAATTTTCCTTGGGATGTCCTGTTTGATCCTTGGACTATTTAAGAGAGTGTTGTTTAATTTCCAAGTGACTGGAAATACTTTTGTTATTTTTGTTATTTACCCTAACCCTAACCCTAACCAACTCATGTCCATTGAGTCGATGATGCCATCCAACCCTCTCATCCTGTCACCCCCTTCTCCTCCTACCCTGAATCTCTCCCAGCATCAGGGTCCAACGAGTCAGCTCTCCGCATAAGGTGGCCAAAGTATTGGAGCTTTAGCTTTCTTGAGCTCTTCCTTGTCACCTCCCTAACACTTTCTGGTTCCCTGGGTCTTTCATTTTCTGTCTGGCCACTGACTACTCACTTCCACACTTGTCATGTCTGGGCCAAACACTGGGAGAACAGAGAGGGGAGTTTTGGCTGATGGCTCCTGTTGCTGCCACCGCAGCTGCCTGGGGCAGAAGAGAACCAAGGGAAAGGAAAGGGGCTTTCATCTGCACTCTTGGAGCTTTTGGACATTTCCTTTCCCCTTCCTGAAGCCTGGCTTCTCCTGGAGCCCTCTGCTCTGCCCCAGTGCTCACCTCCAGGGTTTGGGTGTGTTGAGTTCAAGGCGGGCTCTACCCGAGGGAAAGAAGCAATGGTGCTTTGGCCTCAGTGTCCTTCCCGACTGCTGGTGCTGTTAGCTTCCTTGCGATCTCAAAGAGCTGCTCTGTGTGTTCTCTTCAGGTTTTAAATTGACAAGAAGAGTGGCATGTGTTTTCTCTGTCTTTACCAGAATTAGAACCTCTGATTGATATTAAAAACTTTATTTTCTAATTAACTCATCTTTATAGGTGGGATAACAGTTGATGTTGCTAGTAAGAGTTTAGGTAAGCAGCCAGATTGCATAGTTTAATTCTCTTGGCTTTATTTATGCTTGCCTTTATGTCAGCTGCACATGATGCTATTTTGGTCTCTTCCTTTGATCACATAGTTTTCACCATAGGTTTCTATTTGCACTTTCCAAGTAGCCTCGTGAGGAAACGTACCCTTGCTATTTCTTTGTGAGTGGGGCTCAGCCTCTTACACGACTGCGTAGCAGGGTTAGTCAGGGCAGCGGGTTTGGATGTACCTCACCTGAACCGTACGAGGCACAGTTTTGAGAAAAATTAGATGGGGATCCTTGCTGAAGATCCTTTCTGGCTAAGTTTGTGCTTGCTTCAGAACTGCTGAACCACAGCAGCCTTCTGAACTCATCAAGCTGGGTGTAATTTCAGAACGGATTTGCACGTAGCTCTTTTGAGATGCAAATCTTTGCAGAAATTACACCTGATGCAGTTGCGCTGGCAGCTGGTGTCTACACTCAGGAAGTGGGACAGGATCTCCACGGAGGCTCAGACTCATTCACATGCAACTCAGAGGCCACATGAAGGTCTAATTACCCCTGTGACCTTCCCGTCTGCATCTGTGATTGGTTAAGAAGTGGAGAGATGGTACTGCAGCCCTGGTTGCTATGGTCAGGTAGGAAGGCAGAAGAACAGTGGGGGCAGCCGAGGTCAGCCTGGTTCCAGCCTCAGGTGGGATGAGGGTCCAGCTCCCTGTGCTGCCGTCGTGGCCCCTCATCTCACCCAGCCTCCATTAGCTCATCCATAAAGCACAGTGCGCGCTTCCCTTGCGAGGGGAGGCTACTGAGGGAGGCGTGAGAAAATGCACAGGAAACTGCAGTCTGCTGAAATGTGAAGTGCCACCCAAGTGTTTATTAGAAAATATTTGAAGAATAACAGATAAAAATAGGAGATGAATGATGAATCAAGAGAAACAAGTCTAATACTAGAGCCAGGATTCATTCCCTTCCAGCCCTGAGGGTTTAGGATTCTGCCCGTGGTGCTGCAGGCTCAAGGGTGCCCGAGTGCGTCTCCTGTTTCTCCAGGAAGGTGGCAAGGGCACACGTGCCAGGGCACCCAGGCAGGGGTGTTGCCCTGGTGTGGCTGTTAGTGCCGCTTCCTTCTCCCAGCCCCCTGAGATCGCCGGGAACCCAGAGTCACCCTTCCTTCTGTAGGAAAGAGGTTGTGTTGGGCTTGGGACGCAAGGGCCAGCATGGTTGTGGAACCAACGGCTGGCAAGTTTGTTCCCCCATGATTTGCCTTCCCTGAAGTGTTCAGGCTCCCAGAACACACAGCCTCCTAAGGGGCCGACAGGAGGCACCCCATCCTGACCTGGCCCCTGTCCAACTCTGTGGTCAGCAGCACCCCGGGGCTCACTGCCCAGTTACAGGGGCAGCCTGAGACTCAGGGTGCCCAGCGAACAGGTCGTGGGTCAGCTGACTGCTCTCCTCTCCTCCCTTGCAGATCACCTCCAACGAGAAGCACCTGGAGAGTCTCAAGAGCGCAGGGAGCCTCCTGCGGGCTCTGGAGGGGCTGGCCCCGGCCGGGGGGTGAGTAGGCTTGGCAAACACTCCCCCATTTCTTTTTCCTCTCCTCCTCGTTTCCCCTACACACCAGGGACCATCACCCTCCCACCTGACACTGCCCACTGTGCGCCCTTCCACCCAGGCCCCACCTGCTAAGGGGTGCAAGACATGAGGTGGTGCCAAGCATTTCCGGGTAGTTTGTCTTCAGATTCACAAGGTTCTATGGAATCTGCTTCCTGGTGTTTTGAGTATTGTATTCATTTTAAGAAAGCATGTGGTTGAGGTACTGGGGAGACAGTGATTCTGTGGAGAAGGCTCAGCTCCAACCAGCACTGCTGCATTAATCCTGGACTGGGTCAGGGTTAATCTCCTGGCCTCCCCCAGCTCTTACTTGTGCTTTCTGTGAGCTGAGGGGAAGGACAGGCTGACCTTGATGGGAGGGGCCCTTCTTGCCTGGGGTCCCCTGTGGTGTAAGGTGTGGACAGTGGCTCCTGGGCCAGATGGGTCCATCCCCAGGGATGGCAGCATCCTCAGCCCTGATGGGGCCCTGACAGGCGGGTTGTCTCCCTGGCTGGTCACTGGCAGCCGGCGCCGCTCTGGCAGGTGGGATGGGCTCATGGCTCCACCAGAGTAGCTTGGCCTGAGCCAGGAGCAGGATGAGTTCCACAGAGACCCCTGATGTGCAGAGCAGGAATACGTGGCCCCATCCCCCTGCACCCCACCTCTTCTTTGCAGCCCCCAGTCCCATTACTAGGAAGCAGCTCTACTACCGTGTAGTTGGGAGTGTGCCACCAGCCAATTTTACACTTCAAGGTGCTCTGCCACATGCCATTCTCTCCTCTGGCGACACAAGTGTGTGTCTCAGACAATCTGCTCCAGTAACAAAGAGTCCGCTTTAAGGTCTTAATTGCACATCTGCACCTATGAGAATGAGAAATCCAGAGTTGCTGGCTGATTGGCCAGGAAGGGGCACCATGGAGCGTCTGGGATCTCTGCTGGTTGGCACAAGTTAGCTGCAGGCTGGCGCCAGGCAGGCTCCTTGTGGGCTCTGGGCTGACAGGCTCTGGCTGCCGTCTGCCTGACTCGCCCTCGCAGCTCGGCTTTGGTGCATCTGTCCAAAGCAGCTCAGACGCCAAGTGGTGGCAGGGCCAGGAGCTCAGGCGTAGCTTAGGGGGCTTGCTATGGTGGGACTGTGGGCTTTGGGGTCCTCACCTCCCACTCCTAGAGCCTGGGGATTCTGTCTGTGCTTCTCAAAATGATGCTCAGGGCAGCTTAGGGAAGCAGCTGGTCCATCAGGTACTTGGGTGAAAAGGAGGCCAGCCCCTTTGGAAGATGGGGCATTTAACCCTGGAAATGCCTAAATGTTTACTTTGGTTTTTCTCACAGGTCATCAGCCAACAGCGCAGTGGCATCCTTGGCCCTGGAGATCCTCCAAGCTGCTGGACGCTAGGCAAGAAGGCACTCAGCACAGCCTCTCTGCGGTCCCTACCCCCGGCTGCACCCACTCCACAGGTCACCCACAGCTCTGTGTGGGTCCAATAAAGTCAGCTGAATCCAGAACCTCTGGCTGAGATGCTCTGACTCCAGCCCTAGAAAACCCACTCAGAACAAGCCTTCTCGGTGCCTGTTGGATGCATCTGGGAACCCCAGGTTTGTTCTCAGAATGCTCTCCCGCTGTGTGTGGGCTAGGTAGGCCTCTGCGCATCAAAGTGGAGGGAAGCTGCGGGCATCTCCCAGCCTCGGTCTCCTCCAGAGATTTACCAGGCGGGATGATGCAGGAATGCTCCTCCAGCTACAGATCTAGAGCAAGCCTTTAGAAGCTTGTTTTATTTTACCTGCCTGACTTTTCATTTCAGGAATGAACTGATTCTAAGAATCCAGGGGAGGAATGGGCAAGACTCCACTCATAGGAGCAGGTAGTTAAAACTCTGCCTAAAGGAATGCAGACTGCTCAAGGAATGCTGGCTTCCTTGCAGGTCTGCTCACCTAGGTGGGATGAAGGCATCGAGGTAGACTCCTTCCCCCGCCTTCTACCAGTGACCACCACCTCTCAGCCTCAAAACCTTCCCAGCTTCTATCTCACACATACACCCTTAACGCCCCCGACACTGCGGAAGGGTGCTAGGACTGCAGCGCTCGGGGGTGGGGGGGAAGATCCTGGGCGGCTGGAGCCAGGTGAGCAAGTTGAGAATGTTCCTTGGCCTCCTTTCTGGGGCTGGTTTCCTCACGCTGCAGAATGAAAGGGCTAGACTAGATCAGCAGCGGCAGTGCCCCAGACTTCTCAGACAGAGGAGCCCCGTCCCGACGGGCTTCTGTCCCCGGTCACAGCCCCTGTGCAGGCAGGAGCTACACAGGCATGAATACTGGAGCAGGTAGCCACTCCAGTGGGATCTTTGCGACCTACGGATCAAACCCAGGTCTCCTGCATTGCAGGATTCTTTACCATCAGAGCCCCCAGGGAAGCCCCCGTGGGCACAGAGGCGGCTCCATCTACTGTGTCATGGGAAGCTGGTCACACTGTCACCAACAGCCTCATCGGCTGCTGTGATCTGGGTAGTGTGCCAGCTTCCATGTGGCTTTGCAGTGAACAGCCGCCCTGTGCCCTCCTCCACAAAGGCATGGATGTAACTTACCTTATTTAAACCCCACCACCTGCCAAGCACACCTTCTTATCTCCAGCTCATGGCAGAGGAAATCAAAGCTCAGAGCCAGCCCACTTGCCCAAGGCCCCGCTGTCAGGTCAAACTTAGGACTTGGACTCCAGAGCCTGTTTGTCCAGCAATGGGATGTCGAGCTGTGAGTAGCTTGGGTGTAAGGGGGACCTGCACCCCGAAGCAGGCCATTTCTTTTGCTCTAGACTCCCTACTGCCCCCATGAGGAGGCCCCACAGAAAGTCCTGCTGGGCAGCATACCCATCACCCAGCTGTGCTCCCCGGCCTGCCTGGATGTGCCTGTGCTCCAAGGGTGAGGGAGTCGGTGGAGGCCTGGCCTTCAGCTCCTGTTGCTTTGGCCCCCTGGTGCGGGCAACAGGCACAGTTCTGTTTGCCCAGGCAATCCGTTCTCTCCTTTCACTCAGATCTTGAGGGAACCACCCTGGAGTTCTGGGCCAAGTCCTCCCAGAAGATATTTCAGAGCAATGGAATCTTCTTTACGCTTCTGTGTTGAGCAGGGAGGAGTCTTTGCTACTTACAGTGAAACAGGAAAGCTTTAACATTTCAAAGCCATGCTAAGTGGAGAGTCCGCAGCCTTGCTGCTTTGAGGAACAGGCAGGGGTGAGGGGAAGACAGGCCCTCACAGGGTTTCCGTCCACCAGGGGTGCTCAACCCAGGGTGTCAGGCACTGATGCTAGCCCATGCCACATTTTGCACCCTGGTGTGAGGCTCTTCTGACCTCCTGGAGTTGGGGGATCCTTTATGTCCTCACGAAGGCACCTTATAGAAAGCAAGAGCCCCAATCCTACGGAGCTGAGGTAGGGGGTGTGAACTGTCTGGATGGAGGATGTGAAGAGGGTGTTGAGGGCGGTCACCCCTCCTGCCCCGCGTGGGAAGCCCACACCCCTTTGTGGCCTCCCAGGCTCTGAGGAGAGCTGGCCACCGGCCGCCCGTCAGCGCCCTTAGGGTTCTGGTGGCGTCCCAGGTGCCTGCTGGTCCTGCCCTTCCTGAAACCTCCGAGCGTCAGCTGTCTGCTGACAGCCTGTAGTCTACTGGCCGGGCCGCCCAGGGAGGAAGGCCTCACAGAGGTGAGGACAAAGAAGGCAGCAGAAGCACGCTGTGCGTGGAGAGGACTCGTGAGGCCACAGCAGGCTGCCTTATCTCCACTCACGGCAGGCCCGAGCTTTGAGACCTTGCACGGACTTCCAGCCTGAGTCCGCGCCCAGTGAGCTGGCCCTCTGGGAACGTCTGTCTGGGGTGACTTTGGCCTGGGAGGCCTCCTGGGCAGAATCTGGCAGCTAGGCAGCAGCAGTGGAATTTCCTTCAGTTATGGTTCTTGGTACTTGTCTAGCTGTTCGTGTCTCCCGTGTTACTGTGAGGTCACCGTGTCACCTCATGAGGTTCTCGAGTCAGTTCTGGGACTGCAGGGCAGGTCTCAGCCCTGTGGCACAGGTCAGAAAGTGGGGGCTCTGGTGGCCAAGGCTCTTGTCAAAGGTCTGGGTCTCTCCTGCCCCCACTTGAAGCAAAATGCCGTTTTCTCCTTACTCAAACCACAGCAAACTACGTAGAAGTCAGTCTCTCCGACACAGGGACTGAGAGGAACTGGAGGGAGGGGGAGGCTCGGTCCCTGGGGAGAGCTCTGGAGCAGGGGGACAAGACTCACCAAACGTGAGGCGGCTTTGGCCCCAACAGCCTCAAGCCTGGATAAGCGGAGGGAGGGAAGTGGCAACCGGCAGCAGCCTCGGCCCAGAATCAGGATCTGGGCAGAGTGGGGGTCTTGACGTGACCTGGAAGAAGGCTGGCCTTTTACACCTGCCCTCCACCTCTCAGCGGCGTGATGATGCGGCGGCAGAGGCCTGTTACCCCGTCCTCTAGCCTCCTCACCAGATGGGGAGGCGGCATGGACACCACACACGACGCTGATGCTGAGAAAAAGCAAACACCACCTTTTCAGGGCCCCACACCCCGCCGCCATTATTTTCTAATCGCATTTGCCACGTGTTCACTCAAGCAAGACAGTTAGGTTCTCACCTACTAGAACAAAACACCTGCAGTGGAACAACGCAGCTTTCTGTTAGCTTATAAACTATACAGCATGGGGCAGATCTTCTGTTTTTATTACACTAATCAAGACAAAAATGAAAGAGCATATTTACCTCAAGATCTTTCACTATCAAGGATTCAAATAACCAGATCAAAGCATCAGGTCTCAAACACCTCCTCCAACATGGAAAAATTGATTTTTCAGCTCAGTGGTGGTCACTGCAATGGGATCAAATGTCCTACGCACCTCCATCCCCAGGTAATAAATCACTATTCTGATTTTTTTGGTAATTATTTTTTTGCTTTTTCGTTTTACCACCTGTGGATGGTTTGCTTAAGATAGTCTGCCCCGTTTTTGCACCTGTACAGTCCTACAGCATGCCTTGGTGACTTTTTTGCTCAGTATCAATGTGAGACATACCCATACTGTTGTGTTAAAATTGTATTTTACTGCACTGTCGCTGTTCTCTTGCAGTTACTGGACACATGGGCGTCTGGTGTGGGCTTTTATACTTTGTTCATCATGGATTTTTTCCCCTGCATTAACTTCAGTTTTATCCAAATGGCTGCCTACCTGTTCCACACTTTACTGAAAAGTCCCCTCTTTTTCACACTGACCTCCAGTGCTACCTTCCAAGTGTCTATTGTCATCTTATTCTGTTCCCTCAGTGTACACTTCTATTCATGTGCCAATAACAGTGTTAACTCACTACTGACCGCGTGAATTTTTTTCAGAAACTAACACCCATGGCTGGCAAATTTTCTTTTGACTGGCTAAAAATTCTGTTGTTTCACTAACATTTTGTAGATTACCTGACACATCTTTAGTCTTCTGATTTTTGTGAAATGTTGTCTTCAAACCAGTTTTCTGCAGAAGCAAAGGAGCATTCTCCAGAATCGTGAGTTTTCTTTTTCTTTCTGTATCAGAATCGATCACTAAGGTTTTTTGTTGGTATAATATTCATTGTCTGAATCAGAACTATATTCTAAAGAACTATGATCTTCTGAGACACTAGTATATATGTTGCTCTAAATTTTGAAAATTTTACATTTATACACAAAGTTGGAACAAAAAGCTAACAGAACAAAATGTGAATGACAATCTTAATTTTATGCGCTAACAGTTTCTCACAGTGATGTTAATTTTCTCCCGCTCTAAAAATGTGTTGATACATCTCCAGTCAATAATGTGTTAACTACCTCTAGCTTTACCTCCGGTTTTACAGTCAGGCCTTCACAGCTCAGAGAACAGCAAGTCCTCTTATCTGATTTTTCATAAGTGTCCTGGCCGTTCCTGTCACTTTTTCCTTTTCAGTACACTGCAGATCTACTTTGCTGCATCAGATTAACCTTCATATTAATTTTGTACATGGAACTTCAAAATTACAATGATTTTAGGCCAAGCTCTAAAGTATTTTCTGGTTTTAAAAACCAGACAATGAAACACCCTACTGTGGTTCTTTATGTTAAAAGTTGAACTCACTATAAAGATCTTCACTGGAAGCAGAACTGCCCCTTCACCAAATACACAAATGTTTTCCCTCTCAGCCCAATTAAACCACAGGGAAGAATTTATAAAGCTTTTATACAGGGTCCTCATCCAACAAGGAACTGAGTAATGTTTAAATACACAGTCAATCAGAAACAGCTCTCAGTACAAACATTTTCACTCTTTTTAAAGCCCCAAAACACAAGTTCTAACAGGTATACTGACTCTGCCCTCAGGGATGAACTAAAAACTTGTCAGACCTACCACCAGGATGACAGGCTCACCTGGCAGAGAGCAATGGAAGAAGGCCCATTCTAGTTCGCTCTGATTATGTTCAGATAAACATCGACAGGTAAACCATCTTAATTATCAGTTCAAAGTGGAGTTGAAGGAATTCCCCGCTCCAAATGAGTCACACTTCTGTGAAGGTGCTTGAAGTCCAAATCCAGGTGGGTAATTCTTCATTATTACCTTAAAGGAATGAGACCATGTGATGGAGTTTGGGGTTGGGAGTGGGATGCTTATTTGGAGTTCAGAACCCCATGGACAGAGGAGCCTGGTGGGCTACAGTCCACAGGGTTACAAAGAGTCCGACACAACAACTGACAAACTAACCCACTTTGTTCTATGTCGCCAAACTACTAGATGCCTTTGAACCATGAGGCCTCTGGTCACTTGGAAAGAATTATATACATACCTGCAGTCAGGCTGAAGGAGTCTTGGCCATAGGCTGTTAAGCCCACAGTCCTTCAGTTAGAGATGGTGGACACTCTCCTCCTACACAGCTGAATGTGCAAAGCTAAAACATTTTGGTGTGATTTAACTCAGGACCAAGTGTAAAGAAACTTGACAAAACAATTCCATCTATTTAGCAGTAAGGTTCTTCCATCATTACAACTTAAATTATTTCACTATCTGTTTACTCAGTTCAATTTCATCCTGAGGAAAACTTATTACCCTCACCGACCACTTAGTGACAAGGAAAAAAAGGTGACACAATCGAATGAATTAAAAGTTTAATTCTGAACCATTTTTATAACCGCATTTTCTCTTGAAGCATTGTATCACAGCAGGTTACAACAACTTTGGGATAAAAGGCAACTGGTAAACTGTCCAAAACAAGGTTCCAAATAACACCTTTTACTGACTTACCTACCCATACATATCCCAAATAAAGTTTTTGATCAAAAACGTGAAATAGATCCACCTGCTTATTTTAAGCATATTAAAAAGGAAACTAATTGGACCATTTCTATTTGTCTATTTTATACAAAAAGGCTACACAATGTTACACTTTATCAGATTACAATTAGAGTGATTATGAATTAGTGTTCTACACCATTACTCGATTCTTAAAAATTAGAAATTGCTGTAGCAGTATTCACTATAACTTAACACTACGAGAGACTTAAAAAACTAACAGTTACTGCAAAAAAAAAAAAAAAAAGCTACTTCAAAGCAAGCAAAGTCAGTACCATTACAGATATTAAAAAAAAAAAAAATTAACAAGCAAGGCTAGAGTTTGATAAATTCCATCTTGTGATCCATTCTTGTGCATTCTTCACTTCTTGAGTCACTCCCAAAATCCATTTGTATTGTAACTCCTCGACCAAAAAGGACCAGAACAAAAAGTTTACTTCAATTGTTCCCATAGGAAACTCAGCTTGGTTAGTGTGTCAGGCACTTTCTGAGATACCAGCCCACCCCTCGAGCCCTCTCAGCAACTCTACAGGCCAATCACAATGCAAGTTCAGACAATACAGCTGTATAGAGAGAGAAAGGCTGCTATTAATGTTTAAAACAGCAAATGTTACTCATCTGAGTATTAAGTTGCAAAAGCTGTGGCAAAAAACATTAAAGTTAATAACTTCCACACATGACCACCTAACAACCAGAAATCTGAGAACATTCAAATGTTCCAAGACATCTTTCAAAGTATGTATCTTTTTTTGTGGCAGATTTACAAATAGGCCTAAACCACTCCCACCCTACCAACCAAGTCTTTCTGAAGTTCTGTAGGCAGAGTAAAAGTATTTTACCCAAACTGGCTTGTTTAACTTCTTACCTAAAGGATGATTTACAGGTCAGTATCAAACCAGGCCAGCTGATTGCTGTCACCCGGGGGCAGCCCATCCATGAGGTCCTGGGCATGCCCCAGATCTGGCAGCCCGTCAACTGGATAGTCAGCACCAGGGTGGTGGCCGCCCATCTCATGCTCCATCATGGGGTCCATCCCCAAGGCGTCCTGGCCGTACCCACCGGAGTGAAAAGAACGATAGCTGGGATCTGGGAGTTGGGGCAGTGACACAGTGGGTGAGGGGGGAGAGAGAGAAGACATGACATGAACACGGAGTTAAGGGGAATCCCAGGATAGCGAACGTGTCAGAAAGTATTCCTTCTAACCTCTTCACCTTCTTGCTTCCTTCAGTTGAGTAATTACCCAGTATCAGGCCACACATGAAGCTACACAGTCTGTTTCCACCAAAGGCAGACTAGCAGGTTCTAGTCCTGGACATCTAGCCTTTCCCTGGGCAGAGACCAGTTGCCGAGTGGTAGCAACAGCATCTGTAGTGTGTGTGAGGTAAGGCGATGCATAACAAGGAGGCTTGGCACCGGCTGTGTATTTGATATAAAGTCTAGGTGACACCCTCAGGAGTACTAAGAAAATGTGCCAGTTTCCTATTAAACCTTTGTATGTTTTTAACCAAAGGCTTAACATTTATATACCTGTCAAGGTAAGAAGCTTATGAGCTTTAAGTGTTTATTAACTAGGAAAAACCAGATTATAAATTTAAGATAAATAGTATATACTCCATGTCCACTACCCAAATTTGAATTAGTTAAGATTTTCAGAGTTTTCTGAAAAGCTATGTAAATACACATCCCAGATCAGAGTCTAGAATTGTAGACACAGGTATTATATAAGGGTTCTCTGAACTAAAAACTGAATAGAAAGCCAGGCAACTTGTAACATACTGTACTGCAGAAGTCTGGCAGCAGTGACACACATTTATTGGCATGATCCTAGTGCTTGCTTGGTGTGTGGCTCAGAATTCCCTGTGCACCAATAAAGATATTACTGCTGACTCTAGAATTTAAGAACTGCCTTTAATTGCTACCACTACTTTCCTGCCAACAGGTCCTCCCAAGACAAGCAAAACAGCTCTTCTGACAAAGCTCTGGACCTTTAGCTTGATCTGGAGATAATCAAGAAATATGAGACACATACCATCCTGGCGATATCCAAGAGGTTCTCCCTGGGCACCAATATCAAGTCCAAGATCAGCAGTCTAGATGAACAGATACAGGCAAGGAAGCAAAATGGAAATTCTCAACTCAAAGGATACTCTCTGATATTTTGAAAACATACTTATTTTCAGATTACAAAAGGAATAAAGGACTCAAACATTGCAGAACTACTTACAAAGTGCAGAATTACTTCAAAATACAGATGTACACAATCACAGAAATACTGTGTAACTTATTCTTTCTGAAAATATGTACTACCAAGTATTTACTAGGTGCTAGAAATGTTAACAGGAAACAAAACAGGCAAAGTGTCTACCCCCAATAGGAGTTGCTGACAGGATGTGTTATGAAAAGATCCCTAGAGCCTGCACAGCTAAAAGAACTAAGTTGCCATTAAACTGTGTGGAACAGGTCTGGAGAAAGGGCTGGGTGAGGACGTTCAGAGCTGAAGTTGGAACGGTTGTGACTGTGTATTAAACATCCAATTAATATATTACTAATTACCTGTTTGGCAGTTTGCTTCTTTTTCCCTAACAATATATAGCCTCTCTCTTTATAACCCACCTTATGATTATGTACAATAACTGTATCAACTTTCAGGGTGGTTCGACTGTTTCAATTTGTCTGTATCAAGGACAAATACTGAACAAACTAATAGAAATTCAAATAGAAAAGTAGGTGAAAAGCAGTATTTTTTAAAAGTACTGATAAACTGACCTCCAACTAACAGCGTTTAATTGACTGCCCCTTTCCTAACCTTTTGAAAAGTGTTTTTTAAACTGTTAACTTTTTCATCTATCTCCCTTACAAATTCTAACTTGTTTGTTCCAAACAGGCTGTATAAAGCTGTAGTTTTTCCTTACAGCAGTTGCTAAGATAGTGTAAAGAATGAATATTCAAGCCAAGGACACAGTCAATGCAAATGAATGTGCACTGAGTCGTTTGAGAGGAAACCACAAACTGCCTTGTTGCTCTAGCGAACCATCAAATAAACGTGCTCACACTGCCTACCTCATTCCAAGCCATTGGCTCCGTTCTGAAGAGAGAACTGGTCAGCTCAACCGAAAGCCGTTTCTTATAATCCTGGGGCTTGTCCTCAGACATTCGGAACAAAACAGCAGCTGCATATGTTGCTGGGAGAGGAAGAAAAAAGGTCCTTGAGGAAAAGCTGAGGCTTCACTGTACACAAGCTCAAGGCTGATTCCTGTCCTACTTACCCACACCCTCATTCCTAGAATGAAGTAGTTCTGTCAGAGGAGCTGTGGCTCCCTCGGCTTCGATAGCTTCTGCAGCTTCCTTGTCCTGAGCAAGTTCACAGAGGACCCCTGCAGCTACTCTTTGGATATTTTCAATAGGAGAATAAAGCAGCTGAGGAGAAAACACACATGAAACCTCATCAAATCCAAGTTAAAACATGGCAAGCACCCCGCTGTGGTATAAACAGTCCCAGTTCACAGTGTAAGTGGTATCTGTGCCACTTGTATTAAATAGGAAGCCTGCATTAAATCATACACTCTATGTTCTTGAGTGTTTGATGCTTGGCAGCAATGGTTTTCTGGAGCATTTTTAGCTACAAACCTCTTCTTCAGAGTATTATTCAAACTAAGATTTGGAAAACCCAGAGGTGACTAGAGGTTTGTGCTGTGGCAGCCCAGACCAGCTTTCATCCCTTCGAAACCGAGCACACCAGAAAGTAGAATACAAAATTCCTCTTCCTGAGGTTCTAGTCCCAATGTTTCTCCTTCTATACTGCCCAAGAAAAATGAAGGATATTTTCATAAATGTATTCAACTAAAAGGACATGACACATTTTTTTTTTTTTGCTGTACAACCATTTTATAAATCGTGATAGCAGATGAAATATTAAATGCTGGTGCCCCTATTTTGGTCTCTAATTTCCTAATACTTTGCTTATCTTTAAAATCCTGAAATTTTACCGACACACAGAATCTAGAATACCTCACTTAAAACTAACATACCTGCACAAACAATGGAATGGTATTTAGTCCTCTGATAACAATTCGGTTGTGAACATCCCGAGCTAGGATGTGAAGGGCTCCAGTACAACCTTCAACTATTTCTTCCATGCGGACTCCCTCCTACCAAAAGAAATATGGTTAATAAATAGGGGATTGTGTTCTCTAAAATCCAAAGTTCCCCAGAATTTGCAAGTAAGTTCAGGAATGAAGATGGATCCACTAACTGAATGTCACTCTGTGAAAGTGGCCTCCTGTCAGCACCAATTCCAAACGGCACCTCCAAAACTGCACACAGCTTCAATGTACCTGACTCCCAAAGACCACCCTCTTACCAACAAGGCACCCATCACTCTGGGTAAAGGGATATATAAGAAAGGAGACACAAAGATGGGAAAGTAATGTGCAAACACTGTCAGTGTTTTCCTTCAGGTACTTACTCGATCTTTGTACACGTATATGTATTTGGTGAAAATTTAGCAAAATTTTACCACCTACTGCTAAAAGTCTACTGAGTTGGCACAAGAAAATCCACTCACCTCCCCCAAGGCTATTCAACTGCTAGCCTACATGCGATAAGGAAGTTAGCTTTTGCAAAACATAACTACAGTCTGCTTTCCCTCTGAGTTTTAAAAAAGGTTATAATTCTGCTACTACAAATTTGCAGCTTTTATATCCAACTTAACTTTTATTATGATACAAAAACTCCTTTCTTCTCAGGAAAGAGATTTTAAAAGGTACCCTTTGCATTCTATTAAGCCACCTCATGGAGACCGGCCAATATCCAAAGTACTGAGTGGAGAAAGCCCAAGCACCCTAAGAGTGCATCCTAATCGCAACTAGCGACATCTCAGGATCTGCTCTGTGAAGCTTTGTTCTCTAAAGTAACCTGATTAAGTAAGAGAGACTCTGAGTCCTAAAAACACATGCTGGGGAATCATAAGTATCTTTACTTAATAATGAAGCTACTTTTAAGACTGAAAACTTGACATCAAAGTTTCAGACTAAGAATAACTATTAAAAACAAAAATTTCAGGCTAAGATTACAAGATCCCAGAAATACTACCATATATTCTTGTAATTTGTTGATATTCTTGTAAGTCCATGGAAATAGTTTAAACCACTCTTGGAAGAGATAGTAAAAGATGTGTTAAATATTTATAGGTATCTACAAACAATAAATGCTGGAGAGGATGTGGAGAAAAGGGAACCTTCCTACACGATTTGTGGGAATGTAAATTGATACAACCATTGTGGAGAACAGTATGGCGATTCATTTTAAAAATATGAATATTACTACAGTATGTCCCAGCAATCCCTCTACTGGGCATATACCCTGAAAAAACCATAATTCAAAAGGACACCTGTATCCCAATGTTCATACAAGCACTATTTACAACAGCCAGGACATGCAAGCAACCTAGATGTCCATCAATAGATGAATGGATAAAACAGCTATGGTACACATATACAGTGAAACAGCCTTAAAAAGGAACGAAACTGAATCAGCTGTAGTGAGGTGGATGAACCTAGAGTCTGTCATACAGAGTGAAAGAAATCAGAAAGAGAAAAACATCCTATATTAATACCATTTTTCAGGGCAAGAACTGAGGTAGAGAAGAACTGGTGGACATAACAGGGGAAGGAGAAGGTGGGATGGATTGAGAAAGTAGCACTGCCGTATATACACTACACCACGTGTAAAACAGCAAACTAGTGGGAGGATGCCTCAACACCACAGGGAGCTCAACCTGAGGGGTGGGGGTGAGGGGGCTCAAGAGGGAGGGGATACATGTATACTCATAGCTGACTCTTGCTGTTGGACAGCAGAAACCAGCACAACATTTTACAATTATTCTCCCATTAAAAATAAGTTTTAAAAAATATATGTTTATATAGCTAGAACTGCCATGGGGGATAAGAGGCTCCAAAATCAGACAGACTTGGATTCAAATTAATCCCTCTGCTACTTTGGACAGAGGTGAACCTTTTGTATGGACAAGATGAGACCCCATAGCAATAAATCACACCCCACACTCCCTCTGTAAGATTGAGAAGTCAGCGATGTGAAGGACATGTCAAGGGAGCTATCACCAGGAGCCACATTACTCCTTACATTCTCCACAGCCACAGACACATGGTGGTTCTTTAAGCAATAGCAAGCAGCCCTTCAGGCAAGCTGGAGAATGGAGGAAGCCAATGACCGAAGTAGTTCGGAGCCTATGGATTGATGCATTCCTTTTAAAAGGCCAGGGGTCACTACTAAGATTTACCTACCACAAACTGCTGCTGTGTGCCACCCATAGATGTACGGCGCTGGGTATCCTGGTGTGCACGAACCAGCAACTGAACTAGTCGTGGAATGGCACCCTGCTCACGCAAAGGTGCATGATTTGCTGGACAAAGGGCGAGATTTCGAATCAATCCGACAGTGGCCTGCAGATGAAAAGAAAGAATAAAGAACTGGCATACAACAAAATCATGTTCTTAGTCTAAAATGCCTACCACACTAAATCTATCACTATCAGCTGGAAGTAAAACTGACTACACAAACACTTCAAACCCCTACCCTCATCTCAGCCATATTTCCTATTTACGATTCCTTATCAGTCAGTCCCCAGTGCCAAGACAGTCTACTAGCAATAGAATAGTCTGTTTTCAACTCTGCAACCTTCAACTTTGACAATTTACCTTGATCAGAGGCCAGTGGGATGGTGGATGTAGGAGTTTAACCACCACAGGTAGTCCGTAGTGAAGGCGAACAGCGTTCTGGGCCATCTCAGCTTCCTGGTGTCGGCTGGTCAGATGACGAAGAGCACAGATGGCAGGCTCAGTGATGTCTTCCCTGTCACCAGCACGAAGGACTGTGCGCACAAGAGCCTCTATGCCACCCACTTGGCACACCATCATCTTGTTCTTATAATTATTGCAAGTGAGATTAGAAAGAATTCCAGCTGCACAGGTGACCACATTAATATCATCTGAGCCCAGAAGCTGAACAAGAGTCCCAAGAAGACCTTCCATCCCTTCCTGTGGAGATGAAAATGGACACTCAGTACATATTCAGCTTGACACTTAACAGTAAGGCACCAATTTACTCTGAGTGTACCTGTTTAGTTGCAGCATCTGAAAGATTACGTAGAGTCCAAAGGCAGTTCTGAACAAGGCGTTGACTTGGATCTGTCAGGTGAAGTCCTAAAGCTTGCATTCCACCTAAAAAGATTAAAAAACATCTAAGGCGATGGCTGTTAGCTCACAATTCCTGTCAGTACTACGTGTCTTCTTTAGTCTCAGAGGGTATCCTTCTCTGTTGCCAAAGCTTATCCCCTCCATCTAAGTCCTTTATTTTCTTTCATTTTCTAGAATGCTGCTCAGTTTCCCTTTTTTCTAGTTCATCTCAGCTAGTGACAACTTGTGTTATGTATCTACTGTTTCTTCCCTGTGTGGAAAAGCCTTCATTATCTCCACAGTCTCCCTGTAGGTAATACTCCTATTACTTATTTCCTTTCATCCAGTCATTCCAAGAATATTTAATACCAGGCCCTGTTTTGCACTGGAGCTATGTCAGTGAGGAAGAGTCTAAAAGTCATACCTTCATAGAGCTTGTGGTCTAGTTGGAAGCACAAAATAAACAAATACACTATTAGCTGAAACTGCCTGTCAGACAGTGTTAAGTGTACACACAACAGACAAAGGAGGGGGCTACAGTTTAAAGCAGGATAACTAGGATACCTGACTGTGAAGATGCCATCCAAGCAAAACCCTAAAGGAGCTGTGTAAACTCACAGGGTGGAAATACCATCTACAAAGGCAGCACCAGAATGCTTATTCTCTGGGACTGTATTAAAGGCACTGACGGCAAAAGATGCTCTTCAAAAATTCACAATCTCCTGTTGTTTAGGACCCTAATGAAGGATGTTTACACTGTAGAGGAGTCTAAATGGAAGCTCAATTCCCCACACACTGGCTAGCTTAACTTCACCATCTTTCCCACTGAAATCACTTCTAAATGCAGTGGGATACACTTTCCCTTGTCTCCTTGTTTATCTTTTCAGATCTGTTTTATTTCCTCAATTAGGTTAGGTTGGCCATGCAGTGCTATGCATGCTAAGTCGCTTCAGTTGTGTCCGACTCTTTGCAACCCTATGAACTAATGCCCACCAGGCTCCTCTGTCCATGGAATTCCCCAGGCAAGGATACTGGAGTAGGCTGCCATTTCCTTCTTCAGGGGATCTTCCCCACTCGGGAATCGAACCTGCGTCTCTTATGTCTCCTGCACTGGCAGGCAGGTTCTTTATACCCAAATGCAGTGGGATGTGGTTTCCCTTGTCTCCTTGTCTATCTTTTCAGGTCTGTTTTATTTCCTCAAGTAGATTGGGTCAGCTGGCTGTAATTCTCACGCACCTTGTACTTCTCCTTCACAGCATTTTTCACAGCTATAATGGAGCCCACCACTCAGACCAGACCCTCCCTATCTGGTTCCTTCCTCATAGGAGCTCCAGCTGCTAACAGAGTGCACAAGGCTGATGCTCAGTAGTTTCAAAACGACTTGGGTTCCCGTCTCCCTTCTCTCCCTCTATTCCAACCATCAACTCTAACAGAGTGGATCTTAATTCCAGATGCCTCTCAGAACAGCCTGCAGAGACTTAAACACACACACATTCTGACTGAGCATGCCCAGGGTGAAGATGGCTTTGAGGCACCCCCATGTCTTCCCTGCAGCCCTTACCTGCATCCACTAAGAAGGGACTCCCTAATCTCTATCCCAGCCCAGCCTTCCCTTGCATTCCAGGAGCAAACATTTCCAGCTACCTACTGACCTTTTAGTCACATCAAAGATATATCAACTCCTTATATAACATTCATCCTTTGCTACATATTTTTAACATCAAATGATTTCATTCCTAAAAGCCTGTAACACATCCCAGCAGCCTGGTCTGCTTGCCTTTGGTCAAACTGTCACATGATGCTAATATTAATATTCCAAACACCTCACTGTGATGCTGCAGCCAACAATAGCTTCTCATTATAAGATAAAGAATGAATTTAGCATAACCTTCAGGAACCCTTTAGGATTTGGACTTCATCTCAAATTGACCTAAGCATTCAACACCTATGTTTCCAAAGCTGCAATAAAGCACGAATAAACATCATCCAGGGACCTAGAAAGTCCAGCACAACACAGGCCTGCCTGGCTCTAGCCCATCACCCTCATCCTGAGCTATTCATCCACTAGGTTCTAGTTACAGACTTCCTCTTCAGCACCTGGAATGCAACAATTTCTTTCCTACCTTTAGGACCATCTGGATTGCACTTAATCCTTACTTCTCATATAGATGAAGCCTTCTCATTCTGTGATTTCATTTAACATCCCCCTCTCAGAGAAGGACATTCCTGCCGTGTTAACTCTGTATCACTATTTGCTGTTCATTTCTCTCGTAACACTCATTCCAATTTGTAAGCACCCCATCTGGTTGCATATTTGTCTCCTTCACCAGCCTGTAAGAGTAAGTACGGGGACCATACCTATTTTGCTGCCCACTGTTTACCAGCTTGAAACACAGGGGCTGAATATTTTCAGAATAAACAAATGAGCCTCAGAATAACCTGGGAAATTTTAATTAATTGGAGGCTAATTAACTTTACAATATTGTAGTGGTTTTTGCCATACACTGACATGAATCAGCCATGGGTGTACATGTGTTCCCCATCCTAAACCCCCCTCCCACCTCCCTCCCCAATGGGAGACTTCTTACATCGAGATTCCTAGGCCTCCAATCCCATGCATTTCCAGCTATTACTGACTCTCTTGTCACCAATACTCAAACATTTCAGGTATTTCTGGAATAGCTGTTGTCAAGCCTATTAACAGCCATCGTTTTTGGTAATATGATCTCTGCCTGAACTAGGCTTGAACAGCACCAAAGAAGGTGTCAAGCAGAACACGTCCTTCGTCTGAACGCAACTTTGGCTTCAAACTGAATATGACCATCCACTTGCAGCCTGTGAAGGTCAGTTTGATCACCCTTTTCCTAAGAAAGACGATCTGATGAGAACTACATGTGCTGCACACATGAGAACGCAGAGCGGCCAAGCACACTTACCAGCTTCTACAATAGCTGGCTTGTTACTGGAGCAGACAGACAGCACCTTCAGCACTCTGCTTGTGGTCCACAGGAGCTTCTCATAAGTGTAGGTCCTCATTATATTCACTAGCGCTTGAGGTCCACCACTAGCCAGAATGATCAGCTAGAAAGATGTGTATATATTATTAATCAGGGAATCTTGATCAAATGCCTGAGAAAAGCCTTTATTACCAACCAATTTTATTATACAAGAATTTCAGCAGCTTAGTGACTTAATGTATTCCTAGTCATCATTAACTAGACCCCCAGACTGGGGTCATATTTAACCCTTGCTTCTACAAAATTTCACTCACATTCATGTACCTCAATCCTCCCAAAAATATATAAACTCTGGCCCGGTATTATTCTTCCCACACTGATCATAGTAAAAGGAAAAAAAAACAAAATCCATGTTGTTGTGAATAGTAATGCCCAGATATGAAAGTTATGTCATGGCTGATTTGTTGCATGGAAATCTGAACCAGAATGGGCACTTATTAATAAAAACTCCTAATATATGCTTTGGTTCTTTGCCTTTCTTCATCATATCCATCTCAGAAAGAGACAGCATAAAATATTTATCCCCACCTTTCCTTCCCTGCACACCCCACCTCCTGACTTTACCCCGACTTCCAATGACAAATCTTTTCACTGCATGCTTCTGCTAAGAACAGTTTCCCATTGTTCTTTTAACATGTTCCACTAAGCGCTGCAGGATCTGCCCTATCTCAAGTCTTATCTCACACCCTTTCTCTTCCTTACTCTCTATTTCTTGAATTTCCAAACCTCACCTGCACCTCCCTCCCTCAGGAGAACTGTCACAGATGCCATTGCCTCTCCCTAACCTTCATTCACCTTAGTCAATCCCTTCTCATCCATTAAGAGCTGAACTCAACTATCACTTTCTCCAAGAAATCTGCATAAACCCTCAAAAGAGGGTCTGGTTCATTTACATGCTCTCATATAGCCCTCCTACTTCCTCCTAAAACTTGAACTAAATAAATTAGGTTATTATTTCAGTGTCTCTCTTCTACCCGACAGTGAAAACTTTAAGAGCAGCTTGCATGCTACGTCCCTATCCCCTAGTACAGTGCATTACACACCAACTCAAACAGTTAAGTAGAGATGTCCAACCTCTCTGAGATACATACAGAGTGTAAGGCATACAATGAATTTGCAAAAGTCTATAGAAGGACATGACACTGGGGGTCTCCAAGGCTCCATGACAACCACATTCAGAATAATTCTTTTACCTTGCTTTCTTGATTGCCGTAAGCTAAAATCTGAAGACAATCTGTTGTAATAGCCAAGAATTTAACATTTGTTTTGTTGAGCAAGGCAACCATTTTCTGCAGCCCGCCAGCTAAACGCACTGCCATTTTAGCTCCTTCCTGATGCAATAAAAGGTTGTGGAGAGTTGTAATGGCATAAAACAATACAGAATCCACTGGTGAACTGGGAAGAAGAAAAAAGTCTCATCAGAAATGGTGTGATTGCACTCTTCTCCTCCTGAGCTTGGAGCATTCTGACCATGTTTTCTTACCCAAGCATCTTCACCAGGGCAGGAATGCCCCCAGATTTAAAGATGGCCAGCAAGCCCTCACGATGGTGGGAAAGATTGTGCAAGGTCCCAGCAGTACAGCGAGCTGTTTCCACGTCATTTGTGTTCTGCATGGTACGTACAATAGCAGACACCATCTGAGGAGAACGCATGATGGCATGTCTGGAAGCTTCCTTTTTAGAAAGCTGATGGACCATAACTGCAGCCTTATTAACCACCACCTATAATATACAGGAATTAAGAAACATTAGTTTTCAGTTTTCAAATACTGATGTAGGGTAGACATTTTAAGACTACTTCCTTGGGAGTTTCCTTCAAAGCAGATTAAAAAGCTGGCCATGTCTCTATTACCTGGTCTTCATCATTCAGCAGTTTTGTCAATTCAGGGATTGCACGTGTGGCAAGTTCTGCATCATCTTGATAGTTAATTAAGTTTACAACTGCATGTTTCAGCATCTGTGATGGTTCAGCCAGACGCTGGACATTAGTGGGATGAGCGGCATCGAACTGTGTAGATGGGATCTGCATGCCCTCATCTAGTGTCTCAGGGAACATAGCAGCTCTCACCCTCTGAGCTCGAGTCATTGCATACTGTCCATCGATATCTGGAAAAGGTGAATTCAACAGTCAAATCTCCACAGCTCAGCATTAGCCCCAACAGTCAAGCTGATGCTGCAATCACTCCCTTTTCTTTACCACGCTATTTTATTTAAGCTACCATATGCTAACTTTTCTAAGAGTAACTATGCAATTCTCAAAACTGCACTCTAACTTTGAGTAAGGTGATAATATTCTTACCAGCTACTTGTTCTTGAGTGAAGGACTGAGAAAATCCCTGTTCCCACTCATACAGGACTTGGGTGGTATCCACATCCTCCTCCTCAGGATTGCCTTTACCACTCAGAGAAGGCGCCGTGGTGGTGGCGCCAGAATGGATCCCAGAGTCCAGGTAAGACTGCTGCTGCCAGTGACTAACAGCTGCTTTTCTGTCTGGCTCCATGGCCATGTCCAGCTCCATCAAATCAGCTATTAAAAAAATCAAACAGCATCAGTGTTACTACCAGGAAAATGTCACCTTAATTTGAAAATAAAAACATGTGATATGACCCACTGAAATCTTTTCAGAAATAAAGTCTGAAAGACAGCAAAGGGTAACAGAATGATGGCCAGGATCAGCTCAGGGATGAAAAATCTATCCTCTTAGGAGACCACCTAACAGTTACTCACTGAGTCAGTGAAGAATGGTACTGTATCCAGGCTCCAGAAACAGCCATCCAGACTAGACTCCTGCTGGTGGCTTGTTTGCTATTTCACCAAGCCATTAGGAGAAGTGGGCAGAAAATGGAGCAAAAGGTAGCCTGACAAGTAAGCAGGGAGAGAGGAAAGCAGGGGAATCTGAGCCAGACTGGGTTAATGGCAACGAAGCAGAGCCCCAAACTCAGTAGCGAAAGACCGATACAAACCTTGGGTAGCCATTGTCCACGCAAGATTTTCAAAGTGGCAGTATGGTGTGCTTCAGAGACCCTAAAGAGTTAATCAAAGTCATTAGTATTTAAGATTGTTTGACTTTAATACTTTTAAGTCACTAGGATAGTCTGTCAAACATCACAGGCTACATCCACAGGAAGCCCCAAATCCTCTTTTACCATGTGACATAATGAAACACAGACCTCATGATCTCCTCTAAATAGTTCAACCACAGCTCTATCACTGCCACACTTTTAAGTTTTCACTTAAACGCTAACAAGCACCTCTTTTTCAGTAAAAATACAAAGAAAGTATAAGCACTCTAGTAATGAAAGCCAGGGGGGAAAGGCTATTCAAAATCAACCCTTCCTTAGGTTTCAAAAGTCCTCTCCTCTCCCTTTTTAACTTCTTTCACTAAAAAAATCGTAGGTCTTCTTTGGACAACAGACGTCCAAAGGGATTTTTAAAACACCAAATTTCACTGAACAAGTCAACTCTTACTGTCTTCTGATATAATACAATGCCATCTAAAATATCATCATAAAGCAGACTGTGGTGACTGAATCAGAACAGATTTCAGACGGTTTACTAAGAAGTAACATTACTTTTCGAATTAGTCTGCAACACAAAATTAGAGGCACCATTTTTTAAACTTTTCTAAGTTCAAACTTATAGCAACAATTTATTATAAATACAAGTATTATTGTCTGGAATACTTTAATCAATATAAAAATCATTCACATATATTAAAAATCTTAGCATCTAATTATATGTCTGTATTTTGGCTTTTTTGTGTAATATTCAGGAAAATGCTGAATTACACAGCTATTTGCAAATGAGACCAGTTTAAGAGCTCATGGTCTCCAGATATTCCTAACAAAATTTCCTTCGTTACCAAGTCTGTCCCTTAACAAGTTCACTTTGTACTACAAATTAAATATTAGATGTAAATTACCAATGTGGACTAGATATTTAAATGTGAACTGTGTTTTTTACCAATGTACAAAAAAGTTTAAATGTGTTTAACGCAGTTGGAAACTGTACTTTAAAGTCCTATTTTCTGTCCTGTGTAAAGAAGTATGTGTTGATTATCCTGGAATTCCTCTTCCAAAACTGGATTTTTATAACCACAAAGATCACTCGACACCTAAAGGTGACAAGAGTTGTGGATACAATTGTTTTTATCATCCACAGTAGAAAAAATTGACAGTTTACTTAGAAGGCAAAATGAAGGGCAGAAAGTAACAAAGTTATTCCTGTCAATAAGAAACCTACATTTTACAATCAAGTACTAAGTAGTAGGATGAGTTCCATGTTTCCATTCAATAGGATGGGACTGGAGTGTAGAAACTTGCATTTTTAATGAATATTCTAGTATGCAGAAAGCAATCTGTAAACCACACGGTAGGAAATACAATGATGGAAGAAACCTAGGTTCTTTGTCCACTTATGGCTGTATTTTAGCTCCTTATCTTTTGCCTATCTTTGAGACTGGTTATTTAACCATTTCTTTCCCACCCCTCGGAAAAAATGGGTTCCCCATTCCAGCTCCCAATAATATTACTAGGGAAGGGGACTTACATGTTCCACACTGAGCTCCTCCTCTGGCCAACGCCACAGGGCTCAGAAACCAACTACTCAAATCTATAGCTGCCACAGTTTAAGAAGTGCTTTGATATATCTGGCATCAAGAAAAAAACATTTATAGTGTTTTTTCCTTGATACAAAAGCAAAACATATTAGCTGTGTTATTGGGTAAAATGTATGTGGGCTGACCTAGTAACCTGACCATGATTTACAATGTCTTTATGGAAAAAAGTAGTTTCATGTTCCAAACTTACAATATGTAAGTTTGTGTGTTGGGGACTTCTTAGTACAATTTTTTTCTAGCACTTTCAAACTTACACATTATGCAACACATATAAAAATTATTTTTACTCTTTATGGCAACCCTCTGAAGTGTGGGAGGCCAAGTGTCAATAAAAAAGTAGAGAAAGTAAAAAGTAGGAATGAAAATGAGTATATACATAAGCAGCAGTATATACTAACTCACCCTCACACTGCTCTTCAGACAAATCTAGATTTACCTAAAATTTGAGAATCATTTACTAAACAACTGAATATACTGTCCAGAAAACTAGGGCAGAATCTTGCCTCAACAAAAAGCTTTCCTTATTCTTTCTCTAGGCAGAGCTTTTAGCCAAGGGTTGGCTTGCCTCCACTACACTCTGCCAATCATTAAGGGCCTAGAGTGCCTAATCAACTAATGCTTACCGAAGACTTCAGGCGAAAAAAGACTCCAGAGAAACAGAATTTTAAAATTGGAGTAAAGTGAGGAGGGAAACACTGCTTCATTTTACTACCCTCATAAAGATCGGAGAGAGTAAATAAGAATGAAAAGTTCAGGGAGCACGGATACATGTACACGGTATGGCTGAGTCTCTTTGCTGTCCACAGGAAACTATCATGACGTCGTTAACTGGCTATATTCAAATACAAAATTTAAAAAAATTTTAAGTTCAGTAAAAAACTGAAAGTGTGAAAAACTCCTAGAGCATAAAGGAAAAACACACAGAATATAAGCAAAGAAGCAAGAGAATCAACTCGGGATCAAGGCTTCAACTGACATGCACTTCAACAAGAAATATGAGAAAGAAAAATGGGGAAAAGCACACTGCGTACCGATCAAGATAAAGGGAGTATGATGCTTTTCAAAAAAAAAAAAATGAAGTACTAAATGTTCCTAGATGCAAGTGACCTCTACTATAGACTGCATTTAGAATGCTTCATTTCCTGCCAGCTTTATCACCAAGAATGCTCTGACAAAGAAAGAGGGTGCCAGGGGTCACCAACTTACCAGTCTCACGGCACAGTGGACACATGCACCCTTTATTTTTCTCTTTTTGCTCAACATATGATACATTTTCTAAATGTATCTAAAACATATTGTATGTTTTCTAAACATATGATACTTTTTCTAATGATACATTTTATAAAGAACATCTCAAAATTCATCTTATATCTAGTACATATAATTTCAATCTAAGGATAAAGTTCATCCTGAACCATACCTTATTCAAAGTATTACTATGGAATAATAATTCAATTAAGTATTAAATTACTTATTGATTCACTACTTCAACTGAGTTTTTCCTTCAGTTTTTCTAGCAAGGGTACCTAAGCATGCTAGGTTTTTATTTTTTTTTATTATGAAAACTTTCAAATGTGCCCTAAGGCAGACACAACTAACGGCACACACACCTATACTCAACAACTGTCAGTGTCATGCCATATTGGTATCTTCCTACAGAATGACTTTAAAGCAAATTACATACATCAGTACTTTATGAAGCTATAAAAAAACAAGGATATTTTCTTATATATCACAATCTTATTACAAAACATTAGCCTTAAAGCTTAACTTCTACATGATGGTTGGAGTCTCTATTTCACCTTCTGTACTAAAAGTGGTCCTCGGTCAAAACCTACAATGGAAATTTTAACACAATGTAGATTTCATCCATCGATACAAATTTATCTTGATTACCTTGGATTTCAAAAAGTTTGAGTACTACTTACTTAAAGTAACTTTGCCATGTAAAAATAAAACATCTATTATAAAACAAGTTAATACTAAATTACTAAATTTATTACTAAATTACTGCTAACAATTTGCTTCTCCAATAATCTAGTAAGAAAGTTGATGATAAACTTTTCATATATTTTCGGGGATTTAAAAAATTGAGTTTGTAGTAACGTCTATTTTGTAAATCTAAAAGCACATACATATGCATTTTTATTAACTGTCACCAATACCTTGCCATTTAAAAATTTATACAGTCTCCTCAAATCTCCCTGTTTAAGCACTTTTTATTCAACGCTAAAAAGTTTAAATCACAACTTACTCTAGTTTCCTTTCTGCTTTTACTCTCAGGAGTGGGGGGGTGGCGGTGGTGTGTGTCCATCCATCCATCCATCCTGGGAGGGTGTGTGTGTGTGTGTCCTGGGAGGGGCCTTTTCAACATGGGCAATAAAAAACTCAATATTTAATGAGACTTTTGCTCCTTCCTCTGAAATACCTACAACACTTTAAATATGTAGGTACAAAAATCGCTATTAGAAATCTGAACTGTGGCGAGGGGAAATCAGGATATTCCTGGTCATTTTCCTGTCTTCTCTATCTCATCCATAAAATAATACATGTGTGTGCGAAGTCACTTTAGTCATGTCCAACTCTTTGTGACCCCATGGACTGCAGCCCACCAGGTTCCTCTATCCACGGGATTCTCCAGGCAACAACACTGGAGTGGGTTGCCATTTCCTCCTCCAGGGGATCTTCCCGACCCAACGATTGAATCCACGGCTTGTGCGGCTCCTGCACTGCATGCAGGATCTTTACCGCTGAGCCACCAGGAAGCCAAGGGTAGTTTTTTTTGGTGTTCCTATAATAACGACATTTTGTTATATTTGGTATTCTATTAAACTTACTGTTAGGTATTTTTAACAAAAATAGAAAATCAAAAACCATTTGTTATAGATTCTTTATTAAAT